CCCCCCCGAATTACTCTCTCTTGGTGCGGATTATTCGTTTCGTTGCTTAAAGAAGGAAGGAATGATGACGATGGTGGTGTATGTTACAGAAAAAAGGGCAGTGATTGGCCATGAAACTGGCATATGTTTCATTGATGGGACACCACATGATTCCATCCCATCCCCGCTTCATCCGGAAGTCAGTATATATGTTGAATGTTGAGAAGAGCCCTTCTTAGTTCTTCTTCCCCCTCCTCCTAATGCTTTTTATAAATATAATAATAATAATAATAATAATAATCACAACTATTACTACTACTACTAGAAAATGTTATGTAAAGAAATGAATAAATTCTATTTGTATTGGCCAAGACCAAGAGAGTAATGTTATTATATGGATTTTCTACATAAAAATATTCACTTTAAAATAAAATTCATCGTGTTTTCTCTCTATTTTGTAAAGCTAGGAAAACCTCCCTTTTCTTTCAAACCAAAGGCAGTCTAAATAACAATATATTATAATATAGGGAAAATCTATGATGCCGAAAAGAATTTTGATAAAATCTGCCTAATTGGCTAACAATACAAGTGGATTGGTCATAAAATTTTTTGGATGTCATGTCTTTCCCCTATCATAATCAAACCATATATTATATTATACTATAAGAAAAAATGCAGATTAATATCCTGTATTTTGGGTCTAATTTCACTTTAGTCATAAACTTTTAAAATGTGGCAGTCTAGTACCCAACGTTACCCAGTTGTCAGTTATGTATATCAGCTTTTGAAAATGTCAAAAATACCATTCACCATCTTGAGCTCAAAAAGTGTATGTTTTGAGAATGGAGTTTTGCAAGGGAATGGTAATACTTGCAGCCATGCATAAAACCTGGGCATGGCAGCAAACATGCATGACAACAATAACAACGGACCCATTTCCAGTAACGCATCCGCTCACGATTCAATAGGTTGCTCCACCAAGGCCTCCAACGCCCTTCAACTCCGCCAGCACTAAGCATAATACCCACCCACTTACGACCTACAACACCAATTAAACATGCCGAGCCCAAGTATGGCTGGCTTACTTATTCTTACTCCACCTGTCTCCCTGGCTCAACGTGCTTCTGCTGCTTCAGCCCGATGCATGGTCTGCCAATTGTCCTACTACACCTAGAACAACAAAGAAGGCCTCACCAGGGCCCAATCCATCATCCAATGCCTCCTTGCCGTGTCTGCCGTCAATGGTGGCCACACCTTTTACGCTAGCTACCTCCATCATGATGAAGTCTATGCATGCTTCAATTCTCTCTGGTTATCTCCCCTTGTGTTAAGAATTAAAGGCATGGAGCGTCGTCGTTAGTTGTCTTGCCGCGTCCGGTGATGATGGTCCCGTTGAGGCTCTACGACTATTTAATTCTGTAATCTGGCGCGTCCATTGTGTTGCCGACCTTGCCATATATAGCCACTGATGCCCGTCCCGATATGATTGCTTACAATATTATGCTTAATGCCTGTGCCAATCTTGGCAACATTGGGAAATAGGGAGAGCTGCCATCTTTGGCGGTGGTGGAGCTAATTTTTTAGCTTGTACGGCCTGGCGCCTGGATTCAACGTTAATTGAGAAACAGAAATCATAAAAAGAGAAGAGAGAAGAAGAGAGATGGTTTAGACTTCTTAGGAGAAGGGCATTTGACTGATCCATAAAAAAAATTAGATAATATCCAAAGGGTGTTTGTGTTTTTTCACATGACATTTAGTATATGATGCCGCAGATGCGGTGCTACTGCTGATGTGTGGGTTGGAAACATTGTTTTTTTTTTTGTTTTGAATCGTTGCCGTCAGGTAGGACATTTCCCAGAGCAACAACACTTTTCCTGTTTGGTATTAATGCTCCGAGAAGTGTTTTCAGCACTGATACCCATTATCCAGGAAACGTCAAATTCGGCGTTGCTCCAAGCCATACCTTCCCAATTTCCAAAATGTAGTTTGGAGCACCATTTTTTATGAAAATATGGTTCCAAATAAATGCCAACGGTTTTATCGTTTTCTAGAGCAAATGCCAAACAATTACTTAATGATTGGTTAACGATTAGGTATTAAAGTTGACACGTGATGCGACGCAATCTGGCTGCTCCTAACTGGAGGTGACTTGGCTCCCAGTAAATGACGGACATGGAGAATCTACACAGAAGGAATCAGAGAACCTGGGGGTGCTTATCCGACGAGGTCGCTCCGATGCTTAAGTCAGTATGTGCGAGCTGAAAGTGATTAGAAAGCAAGAGAGCTAGTAAGCAGTAATTGTGTGTGTACCTTGGGCCCCTGGGGGAAGACCTTTATATAATGGAGTCCTCGCGGGCTTCGTAGAGTAGTTCTGAGATCATTGCTATGATAGAATCTGTTCCCGTGTTAATTGGAGATAACATTATCAATTGATGAGGTTAATCACTTCCGCCCGAATCGGACGGGGAAATAATGCTTAGTTGTTACAAGACGTGATCTCGCAAAATTCGAGAATCGTTGGGAGTGACTTTCGGGGTTATATTGAGGGCAGATTGATATACCCGAGCTGGTTTCTACTTCAAATTGATGTTCTCGAGCTAAGGCTTGTACACTTCGAATTGAATTATGTACTGGTGCCGCGACCTGGTACCGAGGTGCCCTTAGCTCGGGATGATTTCAGCTCGAACCCTTAGTTCGGGGTAGTGGAGTATCACTTTGTAGCGAATTGGCTATGCCGAGTTGGCACCTATGTTGAGTCATGTTCACGTGTCCCCTTATTATGAGGTCAAGCTAAATTACCCTCGATCAACACGTTTTATAACTAGACACTATATTGACACGTTTTAAAATTAGGAGATCAAAATGAGGATAAACCCAAGGTAGACGATACTAATCTATAATTTTCCCTATGTTATATTAGCAAAGGAGGGAATAAATGTCGTTTTTAACATGGTTGTCCAAACTCCAAAGTGAAACCATATAATCCTTAGTGACTGGTAATTCTCATTACCGATACATGATACATACATCTTTTCTTTACTACAATGACAGATCCTTTCCACTAGCACGTCACCATATGTTAATCTAATCGCCTGAGATCAACTGCATATGATTTTTTTGACCCCATGCCTTTGTCTCTTTCTTCCTTGCTCCTTCATCGGAGGACAACTAATTAAGGTTTTCTTTCTGTTCTAATTTCTATGGCTTATAAACTGTTTTCATTGAAACTTTTTGAAGTCGGACCCATTTTGAGTTCTGCCGAGATCTGATCCTTGCTTTGGAGCTCCTCTATTACACCCTAATAATTCACGGGATGACTTGATGAGAAGTCCCGATCCAGTGGGTTTTACCTTTAACTGAAGGAGGACTACTGCTCGTTTTTATCCTCCCGAGGATGCTCTTTTTAATTCTGTTTTCCTTGTTCTTTACCCTTTTTGTTCCTCTAATATTCTGCCACGTATCCATACTCTGACCACTATTGCTCCAGGACGACGGCCGTCTGTCCATGTCCTTGAAAATTTGGTAAGTCCAGAATCCAGAGTTCAGACGATATCTCCTGGTCCTGGTCATGGTTATGGACAAACCCACCTCAAAAACCGTAACTCAGGAGGAATTCAAAAGAAACATTTAACACTGCATCCCTCAAGCTGAATTTTCTTCTTCTTTTCTATCGTTAGGGCTCACACTAATTTACGATCAGGACCACTAGATCAGGGAGGGGAGTTTCTCACTTGCCCCGAAAAAGTGGGCTGCCGCAGTGCAGTAGCAAAGATTGTTCAATTAGATAGATGCAATTCTCTTCTGTTCTATGTTCAGTATTGCGTGTGTGAAACCCAGATGCGAGATCGATGCCCATAAATCTCCAAATAAATTATTCAATAGAAAGAATAACAACAACAACAAAAGGATTAAAGAAGCGAAGAGAAGAGGAAGAATGGGAGATCACTTCGACAATCAAAAGTTGATAAATTTATATCCTCTTGTCCTTGCATGCTTGGTGTAATCAACCAACCAAAATAATAGAATTGAACAAGAAAATGACAAAGTAGCAACAGAAATACATCGCTCAAGCGCTCTATATCTATCCGACCAAAGATTTTTCGATAACATTGAGAGATGAAAATAAAGTTTCATACTATTACGTTGTTACTAATAGTATCAGTAGTAGTAATACTAGTAGATGGTTGTAGATTTACCGGTGGTGCTGGTGCATGGTATGTTTGGCCAAGCAAACTGCTTATAGATCGAGCCTTCACCATACCAATCTTCTTTCTCTTCTTTGTGATCGTTAATGGCTTATCCTCCTCCTCCTCCTCGTCTTCTTCTTCTCCGTACTCTTCCTCCAGCTCCTCCTTAAACTTAAATCCCTTCAGATGTAGCTGCGATGTCGAGGATGACGACGACGACGATAACAGACCTCGTTCTTTTTCCTTCTTGGGTCTAGCCACTGCAGAAGCGCGACAAGGAACGCTGCTCATGCTCCTCAGCCTTCCCTTGCCCAAGTGGTGCTCGCAAAGAGAATAACCAACCAATGTCTGTTGGCAACACCTCCATCCCCTACCATTAACACGACTGCACCTCGAGCCTTCCATCAGCACACCACTGTTTCCTCTCTTCTTCATCAAGCTCGTACCGTTCAGTTTAATCCGATCGTACTTTCGCTCTTCGTCGTCGTCCTCTACTTCTTCTTTTTCGTCGTCGTCCTCTTCTTCCCCTTCTTGTTCATCCTCGTTTTCAACTTGCTGATGAACCCATTTCTTGTTTGTTTTCGTTTTCACTCTACTCTTCATTTTCTTCTCTTTCTCTGTCATCGTATCGCCATTTACCTTCCGCTCGAAATCCCCCCTTCTCTTCTTCAACGGAAATACCTTCTCTCCGTCACACCATCTCCCACCTGTGCACCGACAACACGATAATAATAATAATAATAATAATAATAATAATTATAATAATAATAATAATACTAATATCAATATCAATATCAATATCAACAACAAGAAAAGAAAACGCAGAAACTCGACTCAGATTGTAACGAGAAGTGTTCAATGTTCGGGCAGAAAGCTAATGCATACATATATACCTGGACGAGACCAAGACGACGACGACACTGATGAGTTGCCAACTCCAGCAGATGTCGCTGCACCTGGGTAGCTCTCATTTCTGGCCACAAGTAAACACACATACAAAACGCACAAGGCGCATTAAAGCCCGGAGAAGCACAGTGATGCTAAGATGCACCTCTTGACAGTTACGAGGTACTCGACCAATAAAAGAAAGAAGCCACGACACCCCACCACCACCGCCACCCCCTACAACCACCACCTCAAACTCTAGTCATATTTACTGGGTATAAAATATTTTAATTTCATTTACTATTTTTTAATAATTAATAAAAAATATAAATATGGGTAGGCAGATAAGAGGAAGAAAGAAAGAGATGGATGATGGGACGGGATGGATGATGTGAGGATGGGGGCATGGATGGATGGCACATCCGCACATGATGATGGATAAAGGAAACCGGAACACCATCATACATGCAACTATGCATCTACTCGTACAACCAAAATAGCATTCTAGTTGTTTACCATTATTATTATTATTATTATTATTATTATTATTATTATTATTATTATTATTATTATTATTTTCTTTTTACTCCGGCGAGGAAAAAGAAAAACAGGAAAATGACGAGTTTACCTCCGATTAGTCACAGTAGGGAATCTTCTGTCGTCGGCAGCTTCTTCCTCTACTTCGCCGGATTGAGAGTCCTACAAAATTAGCCGACAAAGTGAGACCCAAGTGCATAATAAATCGTTGCACCAGGTCGAAGGATGAGAAAGAATAGAATGAACAGGAGGGGGGTGGGGGGATTAGCTAATGTGCGCGGGTGAGTGCCGGTTATTAGTGGGAACTGGGAAGACGAGCAAAAGGGGTGGCGGTTTTGGATCACCGGCCATATCGGAAGGCCAGTGCAGTTCTAAAATAGAATTTGAAAGAAAAAAAAGAAGGATAGAGAAAAAATGGGGAAATAATTTGACTAATCCTTACCTGTGTAAGACCGGGGTGCATGCAATCGACCTTGTTCTTCTTCGTGGGTTGCCCGGATTCATCTCTCTCGCTGCTGCTGGAGCAAATCCAGCCGTTAGCTCCTTTAACCATGGTGAGCTGCAGATCCGAGGGATGTCGATCCTCCAGTTTGGGACGGGTGAGGGATGGATTGGGAGGTGAATCGCATGGGAGACGGAGGTGGTGGTTGTTGGTTTCAACGAAGCGATCGGGATGGAGGTGCAACGACCCTGGAGATGGTTCAAGGGGTGACGAAAGAGGTGGTTGGGGTGTGGAAGAGGGGGGATCTGGTGCTAATGGTGTAAGTTGAGGAAGGGACGATGGTGGTGCTGGTTGGGAAGGCCATCGCTTTCGGATCCTCATCGATGGACGCTGGAGATACAGAGACCAGGAGAGAGTAGAGGCTGCACAGAGGGAGAGAGAGAGAGAGAGAGAGTGAGGAAAGGAAGACGAGAGATGGGTATTGCAGGGTGGGATTGTGGGAATTGGGCTTTTGGGGAAGATCACTGAGAGTGCAAAACCCCCCTAAAAGGGAATAAGAGACGGCTCTCTCTCTCTCTCTTCTCCCTAAGTCCCTCCGGTCTTTTTGGGCGTGGTTTCTCTTCATCTTTTTTATTTTTTGTTGCACCACACAAAAAAAACACATACACTATACGCAACGCGCGGAGATCAGACATGCTCCTCACCAACGGCGCCTCACACCGACCTTACAACAGGTTTCAGCCGTATATTTGTAACATCTCTCCATGAATTCAAAATCTACAAGTATAAATTATAAAATGTTACAGGTAAACAGCTGAAACGTGATATAAGATCGATGTGAGGCGCGGTCTGTTAGGAGCAGATCCAAATTCGAGAGTGTTAGTTTTTGTCTGCACGATTACACACGTGTGGACAGTACGGTTGGAGCAGGTAATGGCACTCGGTTACCGGATGGGCCGGTATGGGAGTACGGTAGAAGAAGGAGGTTACAGATCAGGGTGGAAGATTTTTTCTCTTCTTTTTTTTTTTTTGATAAGAAAATAAGTGGGGACTGGGGAGGAGGTGAGTGTTGTTTAGTTTGGTATCTTT